TTGACTTTTTCCTAATTTCGAACCAGACCTTTTCTCTTCTCCTTCCTCTTTCTTCCTTCTTCTTTCCTCTCTTCCTTCTTGCTGTTTACTTTACAGCTAACAAACAAAACAGACTTCTAGGGCAGGCCGAACTTTAACTCTGAAGAACATAGAAATATTAAAGAAATGAAGGGATGTATATATTACCATGAAAAATGATGGTTTCTAATATGGGTATGTTTTGATAGGACTCCTAGTAGTGTGTTGGGGTCCTGTGTCAAGATGGTGAAAAGGTGAAGCAGATACTCTGTCTAGTTTTTATTTCTTAAGTATTCTCATGTACAATCTCTGGGTTGAAATTGTCCATTTGACTGTGGATGCCAATATTTTGCACTATGCTCGTTGCTTGGTGGAATCGGGTAAGGCATCATATATGCTTGTGGATCTAACTTGTGTAATTTTTATCAGTTTTGTTGTCTACAACTGTTTGGTGGATCTTTTTGGTATGCCTAATTTAATAATCATAACTGCCTTTTTTTTGTTGACTCTTGTTTAACTGTTTTCTATAGTTTTTGACTCTAAAAGGGTTGTTGTGGTTAAAGCAGTTACAACCATCTTGTTGCAGCAAAGTTTCTTTTGGCTTGGCAAACTACTAGAACCACTGTAAGTCATGGTAAATGTAGTCCCCCTATCCATATGACAAATGCATCCATTATTATGGTTATCCTTGTCTTAACCACAAGACCAGTGAAAGACATGCCTAAAATGATTCCACATTGAGACCTCATATTATCCTTTTCCCCACTTCTTTGTCTTTGTATTGACTTTGTTTTTGCTTGTTAAAGGGGAAAAAGTGGACTTTAGCGATGAATTATTTAAAATCTTCTGATTGATGAATGCCACAAAAGAGGTATGGGCCAACTGAAGAAAGAATGCCAGACAATGGAACATGCACGTGCCCAAGTTGGAGGTGTAGTTTTTTTAGTATGTTGTCTCTTCTCAGGGCTGAATATCTGGCCAGTTGACCAGGCAAACCAGGCAAAGTGTTGGTGAACTGCTTTTCACTTTTTGTCCTCCATGTTTCCAAACTGGATTAATTGTTCACTTCTTTCATCATGTGCGTTCTACACTTAAACTGTCACATTGGTATCAGACTTTCACCCATATATGATGGTCTTGTATGGGTGTTAAATTGATTCCAATCTCATGTTTTCTGCCTCTCTTGAACCGTTGGATTGGTGGCTGAGGAAATTGAGCTAATCAAGATTGGATTTTGTTATTTAATGGATCTGAATCACATGTTAAGTAGTGCTCCAGTGATGAAAATCTGAACCTGAATAAGCTTTATCCCTATTTTTGGGACTTTGAAGTATGGTGATACATCCATCCACTCAACATTTATCATTTTTGAGTCCTTTGTGCCTCAGAATTTCTCATCTCTTCCTCTAGCCTCTAGAAACACAAATGTTACATATAACAGGGTTGGATATAGATACAATAGAAAGTGCAGTTTCTTTTTTTTTCTTTGCTTGAATGATCAGACCAGCTGTGAAACAAGTAGAACGTGAGTCAAAGAAAAGAAAATAGAAGATGAAGTAAGTCAACTACATTGTTGTTGTCAACTATACAGACCATCAATTTCCCACCTATATCAACCCTTTTTTTCTTAGGGAGGGAAAAAGAAAATTATAATTGAAAAGAAAAGAAAAAATGTTTCAGCTTTGGATTGATGGCTGCTTTATGAGAGGCTGAGAAGTCTTCCCTGAATCTTCATGCTGGCTCTTGACCTCCATTAACAGTGCCACTACTTCCTTCATGGTGGGCCGTTCTGATGGTGATGAATTCACACAGAACATCGCAATTCCAAGAGTTTGAAGCATCTCTTGCACCATTTGGTCAGGTAAGCTCTGAAGCTTGGAATCCAATATGGTTATAGCTGGCTCAAAGCTCCTCATCTTCTTCTTCACCCACTCAACTATGTGAAGCCCATCACCAACTTGAGGCTCAATAGCACTACGGCCACTGAGGATCTCCAGCAAAACTACCCCATAACTGTAGACATCACTCTTCTCTGTAATGTTCATTGTGTATCCATATTCTGCAAAAATCATAGATCTTGAAATTAAAAGTTGTTCTGAATTGCTGCATCCAAGAAGAATAAAACATAAAAATTGTGGTCTGAGCTGGAAGAAAGTGAATATTGAATTATTGAGCTCAGAGAACAATACAAGTGGAATAAAATTAAATGAGAAATGAAGAAATTTAATATTACTCTTATAAATTAAAAGCACGCATCCACATGGTCTGAATTGGGGCTGCTAACATTCAACAGGTTGCATGTAGACATCCTACATCATGGCCACAAATGAAACCATCCATTTGGATGGATATTGACACATGATCTTTGTCTAAGACACACCATAGGCATAGTTTCTTTAGTGATCAATTTTCGTGGTTATGGAACCTAAACTCAAGTTCTACTTGTGGGTTAACAGTTGAAGGAAATATAAAAAACACATAATTTGAAGGAAAAAGAGAACTTTGCAAATTAAAATAAAAGGAATACTAGTATTGGGAAAGAAAGGTCAGGAAATACCTGGTGCAATGTAGCCATAGGACCCAGCAACTCTAGAAATGGCTTGGTGGTAATTGGGAGAGCTCATCAGCTTGGCTAGTCCAAAATCTGCCAGATAAGCCTCAAACTTGGAATCCAAAAGTATGTTATTACACTTCACATCCCTATGAAGGATTGCTGGCACACAATCATGGTGAAGATAAGCAAGACCTTGAGCAGAACCTACAGCGATATTGTACCTAGTTTCCCAATCCAAGTTCCTATTTTCCTGGAGTAACTGTTGCAGATTCCCATTTGATATGTAGTTATAAAGAAGGAGCTTTATTGACTTATTTGAACAGTAACCCAGGAGTCTCACAATGTTCCGATGGCGTATATGTCCTAGAATTTGGATTTCTAAAGCAAAAGAATCCACTGGTTCTTCACCCTTCTTTGTTTTCCGGAGCTTCTTGACTGCAATCTGTTCTCCATTAGGCATCTCAGCCTTGTATACAATTCCAGAAAATCCCTTTCCGATCACATTCTCATCTTTCAGACAGTTTAATATGTTCTCAATTGTGAAATTGAGCTTCTGAAATGGAGTGAATGTCCATGGATATGAAAAATCTTCAGCCCCTGATGAAGAGCCATCACCTGAGGATTTTTCTGTTAAATAATTTCGGTTTCTGGTTACAATGATCCAAGATACAAGAATCACCATTGCTACAGAAGCTAGAATTACAGAGATTAAAGCTATTGTTTTGGCATATTTTAATCCTCTATTTCGAATCAGACCTAAGGAACAATTAGACCCATCAAGGGATTCACAAAGATTTGGATTCTGGAGATACGAATTTGAAGATAGGGTCCTAAAGAAGGGAGTCACAGGGATGGGGCCTGAGAAATTGTTGAAGGATATATTCAAGGATGTGAGACTAGTTAGGAGGCCCAAAATTTTGATTCCTCCATAGAGCAAATTATTGGAAAGATCAAGTGACTGCAACTGTGTCAAACCTGAGAACTCCTTGGGGATTTCTCCTGTAAACACATTTGAACTTAAGTCCAAACTAATTGTCAAGCTGGTGACATGACCTACTTGAGGTGGAATTGCACCAGAGAGGCTGTTGAAACTTAAATCCAGCAGAGTAAGTTTTTGAAGGTTCTGGATGGATTTGGGGATTGGTCCAGTAAGTAGATTATTGTTGAGAATAAGTTTGTTCAAGTAACTGAAATTCCCAAAACTCCAGGGGATTCCACCTGTGAAGCTGTTTCGGCTGAGATCAAGTTGTTCTAAATTTACAAGCTCCCCCAACTGAGATGGGATTTCTCCTGTTATGTGGTTGTTATGCACATCCAACAGCTCAAGAACTGTGATGTTGGCAACCTCAGCAGGGAGGTTATCAGAGAAATGGTTAGTGTACAAGTCAAGGAAGAGGAGATTCTGCAATTGACCTATCTCCTTAGGAATCTTGCCCGAAAGCTGGTTCTCTCCAAGCCTCAACCTCACCAGAGATTGACATTTTGCAACACTCTGAGGCAACCCACCAGATAATGAATTTCCTAGAAGCAGAAGCTTGCTCAGCTTCTTTAAACCAAAAATCTCTTCTGGGATTGGTCCTGTCAACTTGTTTCGTGAAAGATCGAGAGCATATAGCTCCGTGCAATTTCCAAAAGAAGGAGGTATAGTTCCAGAAACTGAATTACCCCACAAGAAGAAGCTCTGTAGAAATTTCAAATTACCAACTTGCCATGGAATTGGCCCTGATAATTGGTTCTTATCAAGCTGTAGAGCAGTCAGACTCGTACAGTTGCCCAACTGCCATGGAATGGAACCAGTGAGTAAATTGTCCGACAAATGAAGTTGCTCAAGCACCACTAGTTTCCCTATATCAGCTGGGATTTCACCAGAAATATCATTAGCAGAGACATCAAGGACGACTAGAGATGAACAGTTGGAGATCTCTGCTGGGATTGGCCCTGTGATCGAATTGCCCCAGATAAGAAAGCTTGTAAGCTTTTGTAACTTGCCAAGTTGAGGCGGGATTGAACCAGTGAGCTTGTTCATGTGCAAATACAAACTTGTAAGCTTTGAACACAAACCCAGTTCAGGTGGAACCGGACCAGATATCTCAGTATCATAAAGCGCCAGCGTCTGGAGGTTGATCAAGTTCCCGATGGTGGGGGGCATTACACCAGTGAGCCCAGTTGCCGCAGCACCAAATGTGGTGAGATTAGTTAGCAGTCCTAACTGGGGTGGAATCTCACCAGTTAGATATGGGTTCCCACCGATTCGAAACTGTTGGAGGGAGACCATTGAACCCAACTGGAAAGGTATAGACCCATTAAGGAGATTGTCTTGGAGACAGAGGACTTGTAGCGAGGACAGGTTAGCCAACTGCTGAGGGATGCGACCTGAGAGACGATTGGAGTTCAAGAAGAGAAATTGAAGCGAAGTGATTGCACCAAGCTGCAGAGGGATGGGACCCGAAAGAGAATTAGATGAAAGATCGAGGAGGCGAAGATGGGTAAGCAATCCGAACGAGGGAGGAATGGGACCTGATATATTGGTGGATGAGAGATTGAGAAGTTGCAGAGATGAGAGCAAAGAGAGCTGAGGAGGGAGCACAGAGAGATTGAGGAATGTGTCTGGGAGAGAGAGTGAGATAACTCTGTCTTGTGGAGAGCACGTTATGCCCTGCCACGAACATGGTATTGAGTCTGATGGGTTCCATGAAGCGAGAATGGATGAAGATTCCGTTGAAAATGCATCAGCAGCTGCAAGAAGGGAGAGAAGAGCTTGTCCATCGGGAGAAAGTGAGAAAACCACAGAAGTGAATGTTAAAAAGAAAAACAAACAGAAAGAAAAGATGGTGACTTGGGTTGGTTTTTCCATTTGAGGTTTCTACCTACAGGTGGACGGTAAAGGTTAAAATGTGGTTACTGTGATATTGGTGATGGTGGCGGTAGTAGTAGCTAAAGTCCACTCTGAAAAGGACAACATGCATATGGTAGTGATGGTGGTGGTGGCCAAGGTATAAAGAAAATAAAGAAGATTATGGTCGAGATAATTAAACTTCTTACCTGGTGGTGGTGGTGGAAGAGGAAGAGGTGGTTGTGGTGGTGGTGATCATACACCCACACTCCTCTCTGTCCTTACTCAGCTGCTAATTGTGAGGATAGCTTCATTGCTCACTGTAATGTTGAGTTTCAGTTAGTGATAGGAGGTGCCGGTGTTGGTGATGATGCTGATGGGAGGAAGAGAAGTGGAACTGAGTTTTAAGCTTTCTGTGACTCGCCTCTGTCGCTACCATGGCCATTATATGTCAAAACATTTACTTGTACGAGAATATTTTTATGGAAGTTGTAGTTCGTGCCTCTGCAGTTTGAGATGCACTACTATATGTGTCTGATGTCTGAAGTCTGAAGACTCTGAACCTAACCACACCAATTTCTCAGCCATGGCTATTTTCTATATCAGAACATTTGATCCCATGGTCTCCACGACCACGAGTGCTGTGCTGATATGCACATTTAATGGCTGGGATCGTTGGGTTCCATGCTTTTAGCCCATAAGATATCGTAGTCGCTGGTGGGTCCCATCCCATTTGACTTTTGCCACATCTGCAATTGTGGATCTAAAGCCTACTTTCCTGAATTCCTGTCAGCTGCTCAGTGCATGCTTGGTAAAAACTAAAAATCAAGAGTCCTACAGGCCACCGCCACTATAACCATTCAAATGACAAAACAAAAGTTACCCGCAACAGACTAGCCTCATTGTCAGATGGAAACAAAAAGCTGGACAATCAGACTCCGGGAATGACTCATTCATGTGGGTCAGATGAAGTTTAAGAAATAAGATTCCAAGAGAGGTGACCTTGCACGGTGCCTAGGAAGAGGAGATTTGATGAGTGGGGTAGCTTTATAGCTTAAGCTTGGGAGATTGTGAAAGTAAAAAGAAAGAGTTGGAGACTTGGAAATAAGCAACCACTTCAATGTGACAATGCCTTTCTTCTGTATTAATACGTAAACTATACCTGATGAAACGTGGTTTTTGAATTAACAAAGCATTAGGGTTTAGAGGGCGTGCACTTAGAGGAATTTCTATTAGAACATCTTTGGAGGGTAAAGTCAGTAAATTAGAATTTTTAAACTGTTGATGTGGTAAATGGAGGTAAAATTTTTTTATGTTACCGATGAAGAAATGGTGGGTGTGTTTTGGAAGTAGAGAAAAAAAATTGTACCCACACATGAAGTCATGAACATGAGATGAGAAACAGAGAGTGAGATGCAAAATTAAGGGCACGGTTCACGATTTAGGGTTTTGGGAGTGTTGATTAGGGTTTTAGATTTTGACTGTATTCTACTATTTCTATACTTCTAGTCATCTAGAGGAGACATCTCGTCACTAATATCTCGGAAGTTGAAGGATTAGATTAGTTAGGATCAAAGTTATTAAATCCTTATTGGTTTATAGAATTTTGCCTGTGGGCTTCACGCATGTTGGGTTTGAGACTTTCGGGGTTACTCTCAATTCGAAGTGCTAGATAAATGGGCTTCTCTTGTAATCAAACCCAAACAAACAGTTGTATTTTGTAAAGAGCTCCATTCTGACTTGTGATAAACAAGAGGTGCCAATTTTAACCTAACCAACAATTTCTGGCCTGAGTGAGTCTGAATTATTTTATATTCAGGTTCAGGTTCTTGATGGAGTGCAATGGCGGGAAGAATATTTCGAAACTAAATTTAAATAGTTGCATTTAAAGTTGATTTGAGCTGAATTATTTTAATTATGAAGAATGTCAAATATATAAATATTCAGAGATATCGGAGTCATTGTTTGGTGCAGTGGTAAATCTTGAGCTGATGAGCATGAGAATGTGGATTGGGGCCTTTGAGAAGCCACTCTCCTTGGAAGACTAGGGTCATTGTATATATTTTTAGGATATATTTCGAATTTTTTAAATCCAAAATTTTAATATAGAAGCCAAATAAACATGAAGGTAGTTCTAGCATTATGCTTTGGATTCTAACGGATGGTACACACTAATCTGCAAAGAGTGTAGGGAGAGTGCTGAGGGATCGTATTAATTTTTCATTTTGAGAAGCTTTTGATATAAAAATCTTGTTTTTTTCGTGGAAAACAACTTCCTAAGGAGATCGTCGCTCTTTCGTAGAGATGCAACTTGGGTCGGGTCGGTTTGGATTGGGTTTTTGTTAGATTTTCAAATGGTCCAAACCCCAGCTCAAGTCTGATGTAGTTGAAGTTCAACTGACTAACTGAAGGTGGCTCAATTGGTAGGATCTCCAGCTGTTTAGAGCAGAGACTTGATGGGCTACCCCCGTTTTGTAGCCACAAGAACACACGACTACACGAGTACTAAAAAAAAGTATCGACTGTGTGGTATATGTATTATTACAATACGTATTGGCTTTTGAGGTTGTTGATATAATATTTTTAAGGATTTTGAAACGTTTGTTATTTTCAATTACTAAGGATTTATTTGGTTCGCAGGAATAGGGGTTTGGAATCGGAACCAACCACTTGGTTGGGCAGAATTGGAATCTGATTCCAATTTCTGCTGGAATGGTATTCCCCTATTTGAGAGAATTGCCATTCCCTCCTCATCTCTTAAGAATAAGAATCTGTTCCAGTCAATTCTTTCTTGCTTTTGGTACCAAGGGCTACACAACCTGGGGGGAGCCCATCCCCACCCCCCAACCCAGGTGTGGGCAGAATTCAATCCCAAGTCTCTGCTACATTCAGCCGATTGGTACCTTCCGTTCCAGCTAATTTCAATTTCAGTTTTGATTCCTGCATAAACCAAACAGGTGGGGGAATAGATCATTTTGATTCTGATTCTGAACAGTTTTGATTCCAGTTCCGACTACGAAGCAAATGAACCCTAATAATAATTGTGCATTATTGATAGATAGGCATTGACTGAAGCTCAATTAAATGTAGAACATCGATGTTTGTAATGGGTCGAACACACCAATACTGGCCAACAGTAACAGTGCTGAAAGCATGGCTGTATGGACCACCGTGTCATTTCCTAATTTGCATTCTCGTTTCACAAGCAATAAAGAAATTGACCATAAAGATGAAGTCAAATACTTTGATCACAGTTTTTGACAAAAGGACAGTAGAATAGAATAAAAACGAGTGAATTTCCATACACAAACACTAATCTAGTGAGCAGCGAGCATTAACCGAGTCATTGACTCAGTAAAGACTCAATAATCTATTTTGGGCTGATCAACAGACTAACATAGCATTTTATTTTATTTATAGCTTTGAGCTGGATCCCTCCAATTTGGTTATTTTCAAATAATAAAGAAAATATAATAATAAATTATTAAAAATGGGTTTATTTTTTTGGTAGATAATAATGGATTTACATATCTTAAGGTTGAAGCCTTATTTATTATGCATTAATTTCAAAAAGAAAAATCTTTAATTTTTTATTTAAATAAGTGAATATACTAAATGGGCAATTGGGCATTGCGTATCAATTCTACAAAAATCAATATAATATAAATAATAATTTAATACGCTAATCTGACGTAGCATGTCTGCTAATAGACTATATATTCGTATATTAATATAAATATATATGTTTTGTTGTTGTTGTTGTCACCTGCTTGGCATGTACCATTAAATTTAATTTTATTAATATATAATTACTTTTTCTTATTTATAAAATCAATTAAATATTATAAAAATGGTCAACAGTATGTGGTCGGAGGGGTCAGGTCAGTTCCCTTCTATTTAGTACATGCTCAAAATTAAAAGGGTCAAGAGATTATGCCAATATGCCGCTGCAGCCTGCATGCATTCGGAATACTTTTCTTTCATTCTTTTTTTTTTATTTTTATTTTATTCTCTTCTGAATATCGGATATTAATTGCTTGACCTCCCTGGTCTTAGGAGTTCAACCATCTCTCTCTCCAACTGAGGTATGTTAGTTGGTTTGGGGAGGGGAGTTGTAAAGAGTTGGGAATTCTTACCAACAAAACACGTTACAATACCCTACCAATTTGATCTGACATCACACATCTCACTATGAAATTGGGGTCCACCATAAAAGTGAGACTTATCATATTTGAGATGTATGGTGCATATCACCAAATATGATGTTGTTTGGGTGTCAGGAACCTATATTGGTGGCAGGTGATTTGGACTTGGTTATAAGGGGTGCATATCATCAAATACAAAAAAACAAAAGACCCTCTCTCTCTCTTTCTCTCTCTCTCCTCTAAAACGTATCATTTACACTGGTGTAATATAGGGTTCGACTATGATATGGAAATATATGACATCAGAAAATTTTTTGATCAATCAACTGGTATCATAAACGTAATAGGATATTATTTATCAAAATTCATGAATGGGTTTTGATTGGTCAAAACTCTTTTGATACCACATCTTTCCGGCATCATAGATTTTCCCAAAAAAAAAAAAGTATAAATGGGTTGAATGTAATTTACTTTTTACTTTAGAATTTGGCTTTTATTTATTTGCAATAAGTAAAATGGTGTTACTAATTTGGGAGGAGTAAGGTAGGAAGCAACTGACAGTGTCAGTTGACTCAATTGGGTCAAATCTTCACTGTGTGTCGACAGTGTTGGGGGGTTATAGGTAAGGGGAGCGTCTATCTCCGATCTCTATTGTGTAGTCCCATAAAATAAAATAAAAAAACAAAAAGGTAAATCGATTTGGTGATCCTCACTTTATAAGAAAGAAAGTTTAGGAGGAAAATGGTACAAATTTGCAATGCCAATGAGTAATACATTTGCATTTACACCCACATTTCCCAGGTACCAACGGAACTCCAAGTAATTGGTATCCTAATAAGGTATTTACACTGATAAACACAGGACATTGAGCATTGCAATGGACCATTATACATAGAAAAAGGAAAAATATTTTATTTCCCATGAAAAAAGAAAAGAAATATACACAAAATTATAAACCCTGTGGCTTGCGCAAAAAAAAAAAAATCATAGGGTATCAAAATAATGCATGACTTGCACGTTGGAATATGTTAAAGTAGAAAGATTTGGCTTTGAATCATTGCCACTGAATTGTAGGTAAAGGGCATATTCCTTCTGCTATGACAATTGGCTAGGCTCTGGGCCTCTTATAAATGAAATTGCTGATTTGGAGGTCAATGGATTCGAACTCTGTTAAGTTCTCGTTCATGATTGTAGCTGGAACTTTGAGATGATGAACCAAGTTCCAGAATTTATTATAAATAGGATCCAACAGGCCAAATGTCATAACCTTTTGATAGATTAGAATGATTATTGTTAGAGAATATCAACCAATTCAAGGACCTCACCTAACAGTTTAAGATTTTAAGTTGAATGATTCTTTGAGATGGTATAAGAGCCATTTTGACTAAATTGTTTAGTATTTGGTCCTCGTTACCCCTATTATAATTAAATAAATTTCAGCATAAGGTATGGGTGGGCCTGTGCTTCTTCATGCTTCAAGTCCAAGCCTGTGAGGGGGCATGTTATAGAATATCAACTTATTCAACGACCTCACCTAACAGCAAACGAAGCCTGCCCACCAAAGTTT